ATTTTAATTTTTTATTTTATTTTATTATCTTTTATTTTTATTTTATTTTATTATCTTTTATTTTTTTATTTTATTTTATTATCTTTTATTTTTATTTTATTTTATTATCTTTTATTTTTATTTTATTTTCTATCCTACGTGACTTTACCGAAACAACCAAGAATAATTCTATATTTGAAGCTTTCGTGACTGCAAGGATTCATACTCTGAGTTTTTTCGGTAAAGTCACGTAGGTAAAAAAATTCTGAAAATAAAAAAAAAATGTATTTTATTTTTATAAATTTTTTACCTACGTGACTTTACCGAAAAAACTCAGAGTATGAACCAAAAATATGAATAGGCCCATAGTGTAAAGCGCAGTCGACCAACTCGCATCATCCGCTCCGTCTCTCTGGCCGCCTTACCTGCTCTGAAGAAGGGACATTGCCCGAAACGTCGCCCGTTACAGGCCACGGTGTTATTGAACGAACGTGTTGAAGTTTACGTTGTTGCATGTGTGTGACAGTGTCAATGTCTTTGGAGTATCCATAGTTGTGTGGGGGGTGGGGGGGGGCTGGTGGTGCAGTGAACCGGCCGAACAGAGTTCGTTTCCCACTCACGTCCACCAACACCAGTGCCGATTATCTGAACCGATCCCGGACCTCCCCTAGGTCGACTCAGTCCTCAAGTGAGTACCCTTGGTTGCGGTTTGTTAAACATTCGTGGCTTTCTATTATCCTTCCGATACACTATTAGGAAGTCACTGGAGCTCTGCAGCTTTTAAATCTGGAATGAAAACTCATTTCTTTAAAACAGCTTTTTTGTGCGTTTAGTATTTGTTGCACTTCCACCGCACCCTCCGATTAGCACGGTTGGCTACGTACGGCGCGAAAGAAGTTCAACATACACGCATCAGCGCTGGGGGGGGAGACAAAGGCGGCCGGGCGTGGTTCTGACCCATAGTGTGATCGGTACCGCACCCTTCAAAGGCGCTGCTACTCGCTAAAGCACTTGCCCCAACAGTCTGGTAAAAGCCTGTCTGGTGAATCTTTGTCTTTGTAGTTATGTATTTTTTTTAATAATATGGGGTGGTAGGTGTGGAGAGATGCGGTCATGTCCACGCTTGTCTGGTGGATGCCCTGACAAACATCACACGAAATACCAGGAACACGACGCACGGCACACGCACGCACGCACGCCCTTGACACCGCGAGCCAAGGTGACACGTACCTGGGTGATTCCCAGGTAACGGAGATCGTAACCTCTACCGCTACCCAATACGTGCCGTGGTTACTCGTAGAGGTAACCACTCATTTTTTTAGGTTTTTTCGGTAAAGTCACGTAGGTAAAAAATATACATTAATAAAAGTAAAATAAAAATAAAATAAAAATCACGACGTTTCGGAGGCAACACAAGCTTCCGTCTTCAGGTGGAACTTCAGGTGGAACTGTGACAGTTCCTCCTGAAGACGGAAGCTTGTGCTGCCTCCGAAACGTCGTGATTTTTATTTTATTTTTATTTTACTTTTATTAATTTATATTTTTTACCTACGTGACTTTAGCGAAAAAAACTAAGAATATGAATCCTTGCAGTCACGAAAGCTTCAAATCTAGAATTAACCACTCGTTGTTGGCGGCGATGAACCTAGCCTGGCACAGGTGCCTTTGTGAGGGATGCGATTACAACAAAATATCCGTAATCGAAAGTCAAGAAGATCGCATGGCTGTTAGTGAGCAACCTACGAGAGGTTCAGAACCACGCCCCGACCGCCTTTGTCTCCCCAGCGCTGATGTTAAACCGCACACACAGCACCAGGTACTCATACCAATAACTGCCTTTATTTGTGACGTGGTGTGCGAATCGTGGTGCTATTGTAGCTGGCCAACCCCCACCCCCCCCTCGTGTGCCTTACCTGCCGTCGTAGGCGCTACTCGCCAATCAGCACTTGCCCCAACAGTCTGCTAAGGCGACAATTGCCCCATACCTCTGCACCCTACTCACCGACCACAATCCTATAATCTGCTCGTCGCACCCAGAACCTAGCACTGTCCTGGCTGAAGCAGCGTCTTCGTGGGCTCCACCAGCAGCCGTCCGTCTGGAACGCTCTCTCCCACACGGCACGTACGCAGCAACAGCAGCATCCAAGCTACACCCACCTTCAGACAGCACATCAAGGCTTCTTACCTGTTCAGGCTTCTCACCTGTTCGTGCGATCAACTGTCCAGGATCTCACCGGTTTAGGTTCTCATCTGTTCATGCAATCACCGGTCTCGGCTTTCACCTGTTCATACGGTCACCTGTCCAGCCTCTCACCTGTCCAGCCTCTCACCTGTCCAGCCTCTCAACTGTCCAGCCTCTCACCTGTCCAGCCTCTCACCTGTCCAGCCTCTCACCTGTTCAGGCTCTCACCTGTCGAGCCTCTCACCTGTCCAGCCTCTCACCTGTTCAGGCTCTCACCTGTCCAGCCTCTCACCTGTCCAGCCTCTCACCTGTTGAGCCTCTCACCTGTCCAGCCTCTCACCTGTCCAGCCTCTCACCTGTCCAGGCTCTCACCTGTCCAGCCTCTCACCTGTCCAGCCTCTCACCTGTCCAGCCTCTCACATGTCCAGGCTCTCACCTGTCCAGCCTCTCACCTGTCCAGCCTCTCACCTGTCCAGCCTCTCACCTGTCCAGCCTCTCACCAGTCCAGCCTCTCACCAGTCCAGCCTCTCACCTGTCCATGCGTCCAATTCCCGGCATGTGTGTACGCTCTAAATAGTGGCGTCATCTGGCTGTAGCATGGCGCATGGTGTGACCTGGCTGTGGTGTGGCGTGTGGTGCATGTCACGTGGTGTCATATCGCTGTTGAATTAAAGCGGTGTTCTTCATTGCAAGGCCCGCGGGTCACTGACGGCCCCCTGATGTGAAAACACCGCGTGCTGTCAAACCCGCAATGGCTTCAAATGTGTGGCGGCCCTCACACTGATGATGTCTTATCGGCGAAAAGTTTCCCCCCCCCCCTCTAAAAATGAGTGTTCTGTGTGTGTGTGTATGGTAGAGCTGTAGTATTATGGGGTGTGTATGGTGTAGAGCGAGTCTGGTGTGGAGTGTGTACAGCATGTGTAGTAATAAAGCTATTGGATGAGGTTGTGTGTGGGGTGGTGGAGCTGTAGGTGTGTAGTGTGTGTGTGTGTATGGTAGAGCTGTAGTATTATGGGGTGTGTATGGTGTAGAGCGAGTCTGGTGTGGAGTGTGTAAGGCGTGTGAAGTAATATAGCTATTGGATGAGGTTGTGTGTGGGGTGGTGGAGCTGTAGGTGTGTAGTGTGTGTGTGTATGGTAGAGCTGTAGTATTATGGGGTGTGTATGGTGTGGAGTAAGTCTGGTGTGGTGTGTGTACGGTGTGTGTAGTAATATAGCTATTGGATGAGGTTGTGTGTGGGGTGGTGGAGCTGTAGGTGTGTAGTGTGTGTGTGTATGGTGGAGCTGTAGTATTATGAGATGTGTATGGTGTGGAGTAAGTCTGGTGTGGAGTGTGTACGGTGTGTGAAGTAATAAAGCTATTGGATGACGTTGTGTGTGGGGTGGTGGAGCTGTATGTGTGTAGTGTGTGTGGTGGAGCTGTAGTATTATGAGATGTGTATGGTGTGGAGTAAGTCTGGTGTGGAGTGTGTACGGTGTGTGTAGTAATAAAGCTATTGGATGAGGTTGTGTGTGGGGTGGTGGAGCTGTAGGTGTGGTGTGTGTGTGTGTGTATGGTGGAGCTGTAGTATTATGAGATGTGTATGGTGTGGAGTAAGTCTGGTGTGGTGTGTGTACGGTGTGTGAAGTAATACAGCTATTGGATGAGGTTGTGTGTGGGGTGGTGGAGCTGTAGGTGTGGCGTGTATGGTGTGTGGTCGGTAGTGTGACGTGTACGAGTGTGTGTGGTGTGTGATAGGGGTGTGCGAGTGTGTTGTGTGTGTATGGTGTATGGTAGGGGGTGTACGTGTGTATGGACCACTGGACGGGTTCCGCAGAATTGGAAGGATGCCCTGGTGGTCACTGGCGGAGCCAGGGGGGGCGGGAGGGTGGCACGTGCCCCCCCAATGATCCGATTGAAAACGGGCGCAACATGGGCTAGAGAAGAGATGGGAGTGATGTGGTACAGGAGGATGTGGTACAGGAGGATGTGGAGCTGAGTGGACTTGCCGATGACTGGTACCAGGGTTGTCAAGATCGCCCTCTGTGGAGGAGGCTCGTGAAGGACGCTACTGGGCAGTTGGAGGCAGTCGCCCTCCAACAACAACGGAGGGCGGAGAAGCGATGCTCACAACAATGAGCAGAGCGCCGGATTGCTAAAGCACAGCAAGTTGGCACAGTAGGGGGCATTGGTGGTGCATCGGCCAGTCATCTCGGTCATCTCGGTCAGTCGACCCGTGGCACCTGGGTCTGCCCCGTGACCTCCTGCCAGCGGGCGTTCGACACTTCACGTGGCCTCAACGTGCACCTAGCCTGGCACAAGCGCTGTGGTGACGTCACCGCTACTTAGTAGCGAATGTCGGTTGTTGTTGCGGTGTGTGGTGGGGGGTGTACGAGTGTGTGGTGTGTGTATGTGGTGTGTGTGTGGTGCGTGTATGTGGTGTGTGTGTGGTGAGTGTGTGGTGAGTGTGTGGTGTGTGTGTATGGTGTGTGTGTGGTGTGTGTGTGGTGTGTGTATAGTGTGTGTGTATAGTGTGTGTGTATAGTGTGTGTGTGGTGTGTGTATGTGGTGTGTGTATGTGGTGTGTGTGTGGTGCGTGTATGTGGTGTGTGGTGAGTGTGTGGTGTGTGTGTGGTGTGTGTGTATGGTGAGTGTGTGGTGTGTGTGTGGTGTCTGTATGTGGTGTGTGTATGTGGTGTGTGTGTGGTGAGTGTGTGGTGTGTGTATAGTGTGTGTGTGGTGTGTGTGTGTGGTGTGTATGGTGTTTGTATGGTGTGTATGTGTGATGTGTGCGGTGTGTCACACCTCAGGCAGGTGTCGCCAGCTGGTGCGAGCGTGCCAGGAGATGAGTCATGCCACGTGACCGTTAATTGGTTTAATTAGGCGTGAGCGCACACGCTAAAGGAGGCTTTAACATCAGTGAAATATTACAAATATTCTCGAAAAACAAAGTGAAAATATACCTTATATTTAGTTAGCATTGCTATTGCTGAAACCATCATGCCAACACTGCATGACACAAACACACAGGACACGTGCCAGACACACACCCTCCAACACGCACGGACACAATACAGTTTATATTCACTCCAAAGGGACAAATATCCTCCATGAACCTAACAGTGGCCATGGTAGGACAATTGCTGTTAGCGAGCACCTCTTAAGGCCGGAAACGACAAACGAGGGCGTGGTGTGGCCAAAAACCACGCCCCGACCGCCTTTGTCTCCCCAGTGCTGTCCACACACCACACCGGGCACTGCTCAGTTAAAGCCAAGTCAACTTAGCGGATGACCCCAGGACCAGAGGTCGCAACCGGGTACCCGATACCCGTACCCTACCCGATACCCGGCTACCCGTACCCGGCCGGGTACGGGTACGGGTAGCCGTTTGCGACCCTGGTGCGGCCCAGGTACGGGTACGGATAGGCCGTGAGTCACTGGTGAGTAACCGTTTGTCACTCAATTCGGGTAGGGTACGGGTAGGGAACGGGAACCCGTACCCGGCCAGGTACGGGTACCGATTTGCGACCCTGGTGCAGCCGGGTACGGGTCCGGGTAAGGAATTAAAACCCGTTTGCGACCTCTGCCCAGGACCGACCGGGGTTTATTAATTCGCCAGCAACGTTAGCAGTGGCCTGGAATCGAACTCGGGTTCCTGGGTTTGCAACGCAGCGTGATAGCCGCTTGTGCCACCGCTCTCACGTACACCCCTACAAAGATAAAGAACCCCCCCCCCTACCCCACACACACATATATAGCCATAACAGACTGTTGGGAGCAAGTGCTGTTAGCGAGTAGCAGCATCTATTACACGTACATGCATACATGCATTGTCCAACACAACAACAACAACCAGTGCCGGATTATCCTATTAGCACAAGAAGCTACATATGCTACGGGCCTCGCACTTTCAAGGTGCCCCGCGCTAAATGCTTTCAAGCTATCAATTCCGGTTCAGTGATTCTGCACTTGCTCTATTACTATAGTACTATACCGCCTTCGACTTTTATGAACGACTGGGTGTTTAAGGTTAGCGATTTGTCGTATTATCTGGCTGTATAGCAAATGAAAAAATTACAATTACTTTACTGTGAAAGTAAAAAATGTGTGTTATAATATTTACGTGTTTTTATTTTATTTAGGGCCCCTTTATAACATATGCTACAGGCCCCGCACTAGCTTAGCCCGGCACTAACAACAACCGCCATTCACCACTAAGTGGCGGTGACGTCACCACGGCGCTTGTGCCAGGCTATGTGCACGTTAAGGCCAACACAGACACACACACACCTACATATAACCTAGTGGTCATCCCATTGGAAGCCATGCTGGTGGTCAGGACATTGCTGGTAATTTTGTTGATGACAGCTTTTCTTCTTTTTCAGGGGTTGCCACCCTGGACAGTCTGGGAATTGGCAGCTGTTTCTGGTGGTGGTGGCAGCAGCAGAAACGGATTTGTCCTGAGATCTGCTACCGCTACCGTGTTGAACTTTATTGCAGTAGACCACGCGCGGCTTCGATAACAGATCTGGTGCCCACCCGAGAAACGCGTCAGGGTTTTGGTCTCCAGTGGGAAACGTGGCAATCCTGATGAAACATCTCTGGCGGCGGCCGTGTTGGTGGCCGTGTACGAACTCTGCGAGTGACTGTTCTGCTCGTGGCCACACATGCCGGTGGCCTTTGTGGTGATGATGGTGGTGTAGTTGGTGGCCTTGTTGGTGATCACGATCCAACTGTTGTTGTTCTTGTTGGTGGTTGCGGCCACCCTGGTGGTTATCCTGCTGTTGTTGATGGCGGCTGTGTTGATAGCAGTCGTGTTGGTGGTCACGCAACGACCGATGGCATTGTTAGAAGTTGTACTGTTGGCCACGCGGTTGTTAGTGATGCTCGGAGCCGTGCTGGTGGCCATACCAGTGGCCTCACTAGCGGTGTTGTTGTTGTTGGTGGCCATGTTGATGGTCATGCTGATATTGTTGCTGCTGGTGGCGGCCATGTTGGTGATACTCCCGCTGTTGTTACTGCCGATGGCACCCGCTGTTGGTGGTAAAACGACTGATGTTGTTGGTCGCCAAACTGGTGGTCAAACTGGTGGCTACACGGCTGTTGCTGCCAGTGGTGGCCATAACGGTGGCCTTGCCGATGGTGTTGTCAGTGGCCATACTGGTGGCCATGTTGCTGATCATGGCCGCCATGCTGATAGTCGCCCTGCTGCTGCTGATGGTGGCGGGCGTGGGGCGCGGTGGCCATCATGTCGGGGGTTACACGGGCCCACACGCCCGTCACGAGCCCCTCCACGCCGCACTCGTTGCGCCCGCGCGCCACGCGCACAAACCCCTCCTCGCCCCACCGCGGCCCCCACGAGTTGGCGCAGATCTGGGCACACGGGAGAGATGAGGGCGGAGGAGTGCCCCACCGTAGCTTTAGCCTCGATCGTTGGGCATCCACGGTGGCGAAATGTTAACTACCTCTCCTGGTATACAGCACGTTGTGGGGGTTTTGATCCCAACCATGACACCTGGATATTTGGAGTTTGCATGTTCTCCCCTTGGTTACGTGGATTTTTCTCCGTGTCTTCCGGTTTTTCCCTCCACATTTAGAATCAACATCACGCGTTTAGAGTATTTGGCTGCTATAAATTTCTACACGATAAGCCACTTCGTTGAGCTATCACTTGTGGCCAGGTCGCTTCTGAAAAAGAGCTACGTAGGTCAGTAGGCCTTACCTGGTAAAATGCGAATAGTTTAGATTATTTATTTAGAACTGTTTTTTTGTGTTTAATTTGTTGTCCTTCCCCCCACTCCTCCGATTAGCACCGTTGACTATGTACGGTGCGTAAGAAGTTCAACGTACCCATGTACATTAACAAGTCGATGACGTGACCCAGCGGTAGCGCTTTTGTCGCTTGTTGCAGACGTTCGCAGTTCCGATCCGGCAGGCCACCCTGGTTAATATTGCGATTGTGCACCGGCCGTAAAAAAATACGATGAAGCGGTCTTGAAACGTCCCGCCGTATGACGTCGTTCGGAACGAATTGGCCAAATTTTCCATACTTGAAAAACCATACCGCAAAATACTCAATCGGGATTATGCAGCAGCAATCATAGCCCTCCCCACCCCGCCCCTTACTGGCAGACTAACACCCACTTGCAGGCCAGGTGCCGAGTCACCGTGCGCCACACAGAGGACAGCTGCCACTGGAAAGTGCCCGAATGCGTTGTGGTTTTTTTCTCTCGTGAATTGTGCTCGTGTACCAACCGCCAACGCAACAGCAGCAGCACCAATTTATTTCATAATAGAGGTTATTTTGGGTTAGATCACGTAAATATATAAATGTTTTTCGTTAAACCTGCCACTACCTGACACGCCCAACTAGTAAGGATTGTCACGTAAACAGAACGTGCCAATTCGTCACTAGTACAGCACTAGTGTGTAGTGTATAGTAGCGTAGTGTATAGTAGTGTGGTGTATAGTGTAGTGTATAGTGGAGTGTATAGTAGTGTGGTGTATAGTGTAGTGTATAGTGTAGTGTATAGTAGTATAGTGTAGTGTATAGTAGTGTAGTGTATAGTGTAGTATACTAGTACAGCACACCAGTGTGTTGGAGAGCCAAGCCACAACATTTACAATCTGAGTACGACGTTTCACCTATAATTACAACTAGCTCCATCAGGCGACAGCCAGATTTGTGGAGAAATCCACCTGTTTCGTTCCTAATAAAGAGGCGTAGATGTGGTAACCACACTTGCGCAAAGTAGGGGGGAGGTGGATTAATGAGTCAACTACATTATGGATGCGCATTAAGCGAACCCATTGATTTTGTCCTTCCTATCCAACGGTAATCCCTATTGAAGTATGGTGGCCTGTATAGACATGAATTTAAACAAGGTATTATTTGATGATTCGCTTCCACACAGCTATCCGAACGGTTAATTTTTATTTATTTATTTCAATTTCGATAGATTATCTAATAAGTCTTGGCCAGTAGTAGCTAGTTTTGCACAGAACTTCAACATTATCAAAATCAATTGTCCTTGTTGGCACGCGTGATCTTCTACTGCTGACACTTGATTTGTTGGAATAAAACTAAAATAAAATAAAACAGTTGACAGATACGGAGGTTTCTGTCGCTAATTTTGCGAGGTAAGTGAACGCGACAGTGGCTGGTGGCGGGGGGGGGCATCATCGGGAGCGCGTCCTCGCCACGTCCACTCACCCAGTACTTGGTGTCGTATCCGTTCGGAGTCCGTTCCTTGCCCCACCTGCGACCGAGAAGGCGGGAGGGAGACGCCAGTCATCATTACGCTTCCATAAACTATTTAATATTTTTTATTTTAACAGGTCAGGCCTCACTGAGCTATATAGGGCTTTCGATTTAAAGCTTTCGTGACTGCAGGGATTCATCTTCTTGGTTCTTTCGGTAAAGTCACGTAGAAGGGAAATAATAAAATAAATAAAATAAAACATCATAAAATAATAATTCCCATAAATATGCTAAATTCCTCTTGATATGCAAATTCCTTTGTCAAGGCGCTCTTCGCCCTCCAACCCAGCTTAAATAGACGCTCCAAGCCTGGGGTGTCTCATTCAGACGCTGTCTCCCCGACAGACCTGTTCTTCACCTGAGGAGGGCTGCTTGCGTTGTGGCCGAAACGTCGTGAGAATTATTTTATTATGTTTTATTTTTATTATTTTATTATTTCCCTTCTACGTGATGACTTTACCGAAAGAACCAAGACGACTATATAGGGCTCTTTTTCAGCAGCGACCTGCCTATCAACGAAGTAGCTCATCATCACGTGCAAATTTGTAGTAGCAAAATACTCTACACGCGTGATGTCGATTGTAAATGTGGAGAGGAAAAGCCAGGGGAGACGGAGAAAAATCCACCCAACCACGGAGAGGGACATGCAAACTTCAAGTAAATTCCTTGTCTGTGCGAACTTTCATGGCGAATAAAACCCTTTCTGATTCTGATTCTGATATAGGCGTCGGGATCGAACCCATGACCTCCTAGATACAAGGTAGTTAACATCTCGCTACCGTGACGCCAACATTAATTCACTCACGTGCGTTTGTCGCTTAGTGTGGGACTTGAACAGAATGCCCGGAGAAACCCCACAGATACGAGTGGAGAACCTTCAATGCACCATCAGAGTATGAGAGCTCGGGGTAAGCATTTACACCATCATACTCTGATGGTGCATTGTCTTTTAGTTGTGCGCCTTTTGGCGGCGTCTGGTCCAACCCATGTGAGACTAGGCTCTAATGAAAGCTGTCTCGGGTGTGGACCAATCAACTTCAAGGACAGTACATACATTATCAGAGTTATGTTTTTTGTTTGCATTATGACTGCAGGTATTGTGGTCTATGTAAACACGACTCCTTATAAAAAAAGGTGTCAGTTTTGTTGCCAGATAGAAGGGTAAAAAACAATTATCATATTTTTTACTGGCGAATGAGGTTCCAATGGTGAACCTTCAATGCCGTTAAAGGGTACGCGACAGGCAGCACCTTTCTGGGTCAGAAGTCGATTTGCTGTACTGCACTGCCCCCTATAGGCGCCGCGTCGGTAAGCAGTGGTGGATGTCCCGAAAAGGCACGATCATCATTGGGACTCTCTGGCCTGACAAGTGGCTTTGCAAGTCTCCCTTGCCTGCCGAGTCCACCAACCCCAGCTGGTGAATTGAATGACAGTGATGATGGCAAAGGTGGCGAAGGTGGTGGTGGTGCGATTGCCGGTGAGGTTGATGATGGTAGTGATGCTGCCAGTGATGGTGCCATCGATGGTGATGATGGTGATGATGTTGATGATGGTGAGGGTGGTGATGCTAGTGATAGTGATGATGGTGGTGATGTTAATAATGCTGGTGATGGAGCCAGTGATGATGATGATGAAGTTGGTGGTGGTGATGGCGCCGGTTATGATGGTGCCCATGATGGTGATAATGTTGATGATGATGGTGATGATGTTCATAATGGTGGTGATGGTGATAATGGTGGTGATGGTGCTGGTGATGATGCTGATGACGCTGGTGATGATAATGAAGTTGGCGGTATTGGTGCCGGTTATGATGTTGATGGTGTTGATGATGATGTTGGTTGTGATGAAGCCGGTGATGATGAAGTTGTTGGTGCTGGTGATGATGGTGATGATGTTGCTGTTGGTTGTGATGAAGCCGGAGATGATGATGATGATGAAGTTGTTGGTGCTGATGATGATGGTGATGATGGTGATGATGGTGATGATGGTGATGATGGTTCCACGCACCCGACGATGCGCACGGAGTGCATCCCGTGGCGCCGGAAGTGCGGCGGATCCGAGGCCGCCGCGTCCGTGTGCGAGTACACGCCCCGCGAGTACACAAACAGGTCCTCGTGTACCTCCATCAGCGCTGGTACCACGCGGAGGAGACACGCAACACAGAGACGCAACACAGAGATAGAGACGCGGCGCAGAGGCACAACCAGGGATACGCTACACAGACATTAAACAGCAACGTATGTACACGTGTGTAGCCAACCGTGCTAATTGGAGGTGCAGGGGAAACACAACAAACTGAACACAAAAAGCAACAACACAGATGATAAAGAACACAGAGACACAAACAGGGACTGCACAACACGGCGAGGAACGCAAACGTGGTCACATGTTGCGACGTACACACACAAACTCACAAAGACAAAGATCCCCCATATAGCCTTAATAAACTGTTGGGGCAAGTGCTGTTAGCGAGCACCTATGAAGGCCGGCACGGCACACAAGGGGGTGGGTGGCCAGCGCCACGCTCGGCCGTCTTTGTCTCCCCAGTGGCGATGTTTACACAATGCACCAGGTACTCATTTGAGGCTGAGTCGACCTAGGGGAGGCTCAGGACCGGTTTAGATATTTGTCACCGGTGTTGGTGGCCGTGAGCGGGAATCGAACTCGGATGGCCGGGTTTGTAGCGCAGCGTAGCGCTGACCGCTACACACACACGCAGACGGACACCTCCTCCATGTCTCTCACCTTGCACTGGGCCGTTCATCATGATCTCCTTCATGATGGCTATCTCCTGCATGCACGCACACAAAGACAAAGATAAAGATCCCCCATATAGCCTTAACAGACTGTAGGGACAAGTGCTGTTAGCGAGCACCTATGAAGGCCCGAACGGTACACGAGGGGGTGGGTGGCCAACACCACGCCCGACCGCCTTTGTCTCCCTAGTGATGATGTTTACACACCGCACCAGGTACTCATTTGAGGCTGAGTCGACCTAGGGGAGGCCCAGGACCGGTTCAGATAATCGTCACTGGTGTTGGCCGTGAGCGGGAATCGAACCCGGGTCGCCGGGTTCATAGCGCAGCGTAGCGCTAACCGCTACACTATCGCTCCCCATGCACGCACACGTCCACACGCACACGCACGCACGCACCAAGGAGTGCCGGTGCGGTGAGTCGTCTGGTGACTTGTGTGGAGCTGCGCAGTGGTGTGGTGTGTTACAGCGCGGTGGTGTGTGGCGAGTGGCGCGGTGTGACTCACGTGGCACAGTGCGGTGATGCGTGGTGGCGAGTGGCTGTGGAACATTGTGGCGAGTGCTGCAGTGCAATGCGGTCTGATGAAGTCCATTGGGTTGTGTGGGGCGGTTCTCACATAAGCTGTGATTATTGTTCGTGCGACCGCACTGGAAGATGCAGGTGTGGTGTGGCGTGATGCATTGTTAGTGTGGTGCGGTGCGATGTGATGCAGTGCGGTGCTCACACCCGTGCCGATGCGGTACGGTGGACCGCACTAGAAGATGTGATTGCGGTGTGACGTGGTGCGTTGCAAGTGTAGTGCAGTGGTTCGCAACCTTTTCGGACTACTGTACCCCCCTTCATCTTCTTGGTTCTTTCGGTAAAGTCACGTAGAAGGGAAGTAAAATAAAACATAATAAAATAATATTTTATTAAAACATAATAAAATAATATTTTATTATGTTTTATTTTTATTATTGTATTACTTCCCTTCTACGTGACTTTACCGAAAGAACCAAGAAGATGAATCCCTGCAGTCACGAAAGCTTTAAATCAAAATCTACCCCCCTTGTTGAATTTGTTTCAACCGAGTTACACCCCCCTTGCCTGACCCAACGTGGTTCTGAGAAATAAATGTATGATGAACATAAATATTTTAACCAAATGTTCCATTTTGTGAGGCATGCTAACTCGCTCGTAACTGCGAGCGAATAAGAATAAATCAACGGACGCTCTGCACACTGTTTACGATTGTTGAATCTAGAAAAGTCTTCTATATGGTTCTAGGTTATGGCTTTACATTTTTGCCGTAGTTAACTTACATTGGCAGATTCATACGCGAGTTTCCACTAATGACTCATTTCAGATATAATTCAACACATTTAGAAATACTCTTTGGTCCTTTCGGTAAAGTCACGTAGGTAGAAAAATAAAAATTTAACCAAAAATAATACATCACGACGTTTCGATCGCAACACAAGCGGTCGTCGTCGGGCAGAAACATAAATAATCCAGCAGTGGAACTGCTGAACCAGCGAGAGAGCTGTTTATAAATCACCTCGCGCAACCCCTGGGATATTGCCACATACCCCCAGGGGTCTGCGTACCCCCAGTTGAGAACCACTGGTGTAGCGCGGTGCTGTGCGGTGTGATGCCGAGTGGTGCGGTGCTCACGTCCGTGGCGATGCGGTACGGCGGGCCGCACTGGAAGATGCGGTTGTCGTTGGCGCTGGGGTTGGGGCACGGGCGCGTGGCCTCGCGACGACCCCGGCCTGACCTCCGGCTTCCCATCATGCACTGCAGCTGTTGGTCTCCCCCCCCAAGTGGGTAGCACTCGTCCGTCACAACGCTGCACGCCGCACACAGCATCATGGTTCATCCACACCATACCGCGCGGCACACACGATGTTTAATCAATGCAGCATCACCTAATTATAACGGTGTCCTTAATTTATTCGGGAAATCGCGCATCTCAAGACCTTTTTACGGGAGGGCCCTGCCACATTGAGATGTTTGGCCATGGAAGTTGACGAACTGCGCGTTTGTCTCAGTGTGGGAGGAAAGCGGAATTCTTCATAAACTTAATTCAGTTCCTGAAGAAGCTCGCAGAGCAAAACGTCGGACGTCACGCAACACAACCCGAACACACACACACGTGTACACATGCACAAACAAACACATACACCCAAAAAACAAAGGCAAAGATCCCCCGTATAGCCTCAATAGACTGTTGGGGCAAGTGCTGTCAGTGGAGCACCTATGAAGGCCGGCAAAGTGCGCGAGGGGGTGGGTGGCCAGCACCACGCCCGGCCGCCTTTGTCTCCCCAAGTGACGATGTTTACAAAGGCAAAGACGCACACCCACACTGGAAACAAATTAAGGAGGTGGTGGGAGGGTGGGACTCACCCAGCGTGGCGCAGGTACCACCAGGCACGGTCCAACCTCCCGTCGCGGCAGCCCCCGGCGGCCCCCTGAGCGGGCCTCCAACCGGGATGAGAGCCCTGGGGGTCACAGGAGAGCAGCTGCTGCGGGGAGAGGCCGTGACGCACGCGGCCCAGGGTCTGGATGGAGAGGCGGTCCGAGGCCACGGCTGCGCGGGCGGGAGAGAGGCACACGGCGTGGGTTACGTTTGTGTCGTCGTTCACGATACTTCCGCGTTGCGTCCGCGTTACGTTCGTGTTATGTTCTCTCTACGTTTTCGTTACGTCCACGTTACGTTCGCGTCGACATCTGCCCGTTGGGTTGGTGAATGATTCAATACAGCGGTCACTCGCTCGCCGGTGGTCCACTTGACCCGCTTAGCCGAATTCTCCGGATATAAAAGACGCTCCCTGAAAGTGAAACGCACCGGCCCGAACTTTGGAGCGATTCTTTTTTTAATGAACGTTGCGTTTAGAAATAAAGGGGGAATGCGGCATTGCGGTGGAGAGCTACCGTCTTCCAGAAGATGATCATAAACGCAATACGTGTTACCCACGTGTCCAACACACGCCACACACACACGTGTTACCCGCATGTCACACACACACACGCCACACACAAGCGTGTTACCCGCATGTCACACACACACACGCCACACACAAGCGTGTTACCCGCATGTCACACACGCACACGCGCACGCCACACACACACGCCACACACACGCGTGTTACCCGCATGTCACACACACGCCACACACACGCGTGTTACCCGCATGTCACACACACACGCCACACACACGCGTGTTACCCGCATGTCACACACACATGCCACACACACGCCACACACACGCGTGTTACCCGCATGTCACACACACACGCCACACACACGCGTGTTACCTGCATGTCACACACACACGCCACACACACGCGTGTTACCCGCATATCACACACACACGCCACACACACACGTGTTACCCGCATGTCACACACACACACGCCACACACAAGCGTGTTACCCGCATGTCACACACGCACACGCGCACGCCACACACACACGTGTTACCCGCATGTCACACACACACACGCCACACACACGCGTGTTACCCGCGGTGGAAAAGGCCCATGACGCGCCGCAGTTGCCCTGGTCTTCGGGCGCGTGGATGAGTCCGGGCCACCTGACCCGGGAGTCAAACTCATCCGGCAAGAAATCACCGTCTCGCATGGGCACCTGCGGGGCCCCATGCAACACGGCACGACGGTACACATTTAAACAGCACGAACTGACGTACACGCTGTACCGGGTACTCATTTAAGGCTGAGCAGACCTAAGGGAAGTCCAGGACCGGTTCAGATATCCGCCACTGTTGTCGGTCATGAGATGGAATAGAACTCGGGTCGTATGGTTTGTAACCGCTCCCCATAAGACACGCAAAGACAAAGATGTCCCGTATAGTCTTAGCAGGCTGTTTAGGAAAGTGCTGTTAGCAAGCACCAATGAAGGCTGGCACGGCACGAGGGGGTGGGTGGCCAGCACCACGCCTGGCCACCTCTGTCCCCCCAGTAGTAATGTTTACACGTCGCACCAGGTAATCATTTGAGGCCGATGATTATCTGGACCAGTCCGGATAAACATCACCAGTTTTTGTGGTCGTGAGCGGGAATCGAACTCGGGTCGCCGGGTTCGTAGCGCAGCGTAGCGCTGACCACTACACTAGGCTCACGCACCCACACTTACACACGAACGTAAACACAGCCACACTTACACGTGCGCAAGGGCGGTGACGTGGTCCGGCAATGGCACATTCGCCGCTCAGTTGCAGAGGCTCGTGGTTGGAGCCCTGCGGCCACCGACTCGTTTGCCACTGCGGGCGTATCGACCGTGAAAATACTGCGCGTCGTCCGCCTCACAGTGAACGTATCCCATCATGCCACTCACAAGTGGAGGCAATTGTGAAACTGCGTCATTATCCAAATTTGCCGCATTTGTTTTTTATCCCAGTGATAGGCCGTGTAAATAAGAATGTGCATGACCCCGTAACGCCAGGCAGTGTATCGGGTATTTTTTCATTCCGATATTAGGAAGCCACTGGAGCGATGCACTTTTGAATCATTTAAATAAAAAACTAATTTCTTTAGAACGTATTTTTGTGTTTACTTTGTTGTCCTTCCCCCACACCTCCGATTAGAACGGTTGCCTACGTACGGTGCTAAAGAAGTTCAATGTACAAGCATACATCGTTGGAATGTATCGTGTGTCGGAAATGTGAATAAATGTAAAAAGAATGACACTGCAAACTGCTCAATTGGGATTTTACGCAGAATAATTGACCCCGTCCCCACTACCGCTGCAAAAACGTGGCAGGAGTCTTCTGAAAATAGAGTCACGAGCCTCGGTGAAGATTTTGTGCGCGAACAAGCGTTAAATCAAACAACACGCACACATACACACTGCGTTCCTGTGGCATAGGATGACCCTGACATTCACACGAGGTTCTGTGACTTGAAAAAAATATACATCACGGCATCCTTAATTTAAATATGAGAGTGGCCCCGTGAGAGTCACAGTTCACATCACACGGGTGACCTCGGGTCTCCCCGTTGGGGGCACTGGTATCGTCATAGCTGCGCGGTGCGTCAACTTTTGCCGTCGTAATTTAAAAATATTCGTGCGCAAGCGGCAGCAGCGGCACAATGATGCCTTGTAAGGACATGCAGATTTCTTTTTTTTTGACAGTCCATGCCCGTGACCATTTATGTACAGCAGCGGTAAAAATGTGGCAACAGATTGCCGTTGTGTGATGGAGACACGCGTTTGCCCGACACAAAAACGTGGGTTTCACCCTTTCTAGGGGGTCATCGGAACTGCAAACTAAAACTAAACTATTTTACCAGGTAAGGCCCACACTGAGCTACGTAGCTCTTGTTCAGAAGCGACCTGGCCATCACAAATGATAGCTCAACCAAGTGGCTTATCGCGTGGAAATTTATAGCGGCCGAATATTCTCAAAGCATGTTTGTAAATTGTGGAGTGAAAAACCTGAGGACACGACCCAGAGAAAAATCCACACGACCACGGGGAGAACATGCAGACTCCAAATATACAGCAGCAGGCGTTCAGGGTCGGGATCGAACCCACGACCTCATGTGTACCAGGCGAGGCAGTCAACATCTCCTAGCCACCGTGATGACGATGAGAGAGAGACATGCAAACTCCAAATATACAGGTGTTCAGGGTCAGGATCGAACCCACAGCTTCCTGTATACCAGGCGAGGTAGTCAACATCTCCTAGCCACCGCGATGATGATGAGAGAGACACGCAAACTCCAAATACACAGCAGCAGGCGTTCAGGATCGGGATTGATATACAGGTGTTCAGGGTCAGGATCGAACCCACAGCTTCCTGTATACCAGGCGAGGTAGTCAACATCTCCTAGCCACCGCGATGATGATGAGAGAGACACGCAAACTCCAAATACACAGCAGCAGGCGTTCAGGATCGGGATTGAACCCACGACCTCCTGTGTACCAGGCGAGGTAGTCAACATCTCCTAGCCACCGTGATGACGATGAGAGAGAGACATGCAAACTCCAAATATGCAGGTGTTCAGGGTCAGGATCGAACCCACAGCTTCCTGTATACCAGGCGAGGTAGTCAACATCTCCTAGCCCACCGCGATGATGATGAGAGAGACACGCAAACTCCAAATACACAGCAGCAGGCGTTCAGGGTCGGGATTGAACCCACGACCTCCTGTGTACCAGGCGAGGTAGTAAACATCTCCTAGCCACCGTGATGATGAGAGAGAGACACGCAAACTCCAAATACACAGCAGCAGGCGTTCAGGGTCGGGATCGAACCCACGACCTCATGTGTACCAGGCGAGGTAGTCAACATCTCCTAGCCACCGTGATGATAATGAGAGAGAGACACGCAAGCTCCAAATATACAGCAGGCGTTCAGGGTCGGGATCGAACCCACGACCTCCTGTGTACCAGGCGAGGTAGTCAACATCTCCTAGCCACCGTGATGATGATGAGAGAGAGACATGCAAACTCCAAATATACAGGTGTTCAGGGTCAGGATCGAACCCACAGCTTCCTGTATACCAGGCGAGGTAGTCAACATCTCCTAGCCACCGCGATGATGATGAGAGAGACACGCAAACTCCAAATACACAGCAGCAAGCGTTCAGGGTCGGGATTGAACCCACGACCTCCTGTGTACCAGGCGAGGTAGTCAACATCTCCTAGCCACCGTGATGATGAGAGAGAGACACGCAAACTCCAAATACACAGCAGCAGGCGTTCAGGGTCGGGATCGAACCCACGACCTCATGTGTACCAGGCGAGGTAGTCAACATCTCCTAGCCACCGTGATGATAATGAGAGAGAGACACGCAAGCTCCAAATATACAGCAGGCGTTCAGGGTCGGGATCGAACCCACAGCTTCCTGTATACCAGGCGAGGGAGTTAACATCTCGTCACTGTGGCGCCCAGCCAAGGTGTGCACAAGGGCTGATTGGGTCAGGCCCCAGGCTCGGTGAGTCTCCAACTCCTTTTCAGAGTGAGCAGTAATTGCCAGGTTATTGGCATCCATAACCAATAAGCATCCATTCCTTGACGACATCAAGGCAGGCATCTATCGGTATCCAATTGCATCTTTGGCAGATAGAAATTCCTCTTTGTACATCCATGAATAGCTTTTTAAACTACGTGTGGGGGCCAAAGGACATCCCTCCCACACCCTAAGGCGAATAGAAAATGGCTCTGACTCCCGGCCACGTAGAATACGCAAACACACATACAGATACATACCCAGGACACTTGTAAACACAAAAAAAGACATCTATGAAGGCCGGCACGGCACACGAGGAGGTGGGTGGCCAGCACCACGCCCGACCGACTTTCTCTCCCTAGCGGCGATCATCACACGCCGCACCAGGCCGAGTCGACCTAGGGGAGGCCCAGGACCGGTTCAAATATTCGCCACCGTTATTGGTCGTGAGCGGGAAACGAACTCGGGTGGCCAGGTTTGTAGCGCAGTGTGCCAACCGCTGCACTACTGCTCCCCGCATTACAAACATACGCACACACACACCAACAGACAAAGTCACACACGGGCGCGTGCGTATTCGTGTAGTCGCGTACGCGCACGGACGTCATGGCCAGCACGGCGGGGTCAGGCTGGGCAGTGCCCAGGCGGGTGGACATGCCGTCCTCCAGGGACAGGCCCCAGAACGAGGTGTAGTTGGAGGCTGTCCACCTGCAAGGGGTGACGGGCAGGGTGACGGGTTATGGGTTAGGGCACGGGGACGGCAACCGAAATAACAAGAAAAGATTATTTTTTCGAATTCGGTAAAAAAAAAGATAAATAATTAAAGAGCCGCAACGCGTCTGAGTACGAGACGATGGTCCCTTAATGAATAACGTCACGAAGCTGTCCTTGAAGAGCCGCCGACCCCTAGGTTAGGGGTTAGAGTCGAGGTCAAGCTTAGAGTTAGGTTTAGTGTTAGGGATAGAGTAGGGGTTGAATTCGCACCTCCGATTAGCATTGGAGTTTGGGATGAGTTGGAGTTCTAGTTTGGGTTGGATACAGAGTTAGGATGAGAGTCAGGGATTGCGTTAGGGTTAGACAGATGCGGTTCGTCCACGCTGCCCCACCAAGCAGCTGGAGATGAGAAATGATATTCCTAATTAAAAATACTTTTCTATACATTGTATTGTTGTGTTAAAAATATATATAATGATTCCTTCAACGTGAATTGCCTAATGAAGATAACATTTAAAATTGTTCATAGTAGAAACCACTGCAACAGTCTGATTTGTGCCTCGGGGGGAGGGGGGGGGTCTTGGTGCAGCTGTGAAGGCGTCCGAGTGAGAGATGTCCCTTCATTCATTGCGATCAGCTTCCCATTAAAGCCACGCCGTTTGAGACCCATTCAGGGCGGTGAAAATGTGCCCATAGCTGTAATTACGATGTCACAAGGCTAGGTCGCGCTGTGCAGGTCAGGGGCCATCCATTGAGTAGGTAACTCAATAATCTGTCAAAACTTGACCCCTGTATGCACGCAAACTTTTTACACCCCCCCACCCCCACCACCTGCGTACATACGCCTGACCCCCCCCCCCCCCACCCCGAATCCTATAGAATGGCCGATATTTAATCAACGCAGAACGATCAATGATTAATAATATTAACGTGTTTAAGCAAACACATAGTCCACCGCCGGACTATGTAACTAATTTGAAGGCCAATGTAGACAAATTATTATCGAGGCTTCACCCCCCACCCCCCTTCCCTATGCGTACATTGTCAGTAGAGCCCCCACACGCAAGCAAACGTATTTGGGTTAACCCCCCTTCCCCTCCATGCGTACGTACTCCATGGATGGCCCCTCACGGCCTACACGCGCTAGGCTTTAGCCAGTGTCAAAGGGGTTATGTCGTGTGGACTTGAGGGTCATGGGAACAGCATTTGAGTGCTTTGTTGTTTTGTTTCGTATTGGTCATAAATGCCGACTATTGGTAGATAAGACACTTATATCACTTTCACGGGAAGGCCAAAAGCATGACGAGGTTTTTCTTCATTAGGGGCCGTCCATAAATGACGTCACGCGATTTTGGACGATTTTTTACCCCCCCCCCCCCCCATCGTCACACGGCGTCACAAAAAGTCAGACCCCCCCCCTTCAAATATGACATCACAAAGCTCTGCCCCCCCCCACCCCCCCAAATAAATAAAAGATGCTTCAAATCGCTTTAAACTATTGTCATTCTAGTGCGGATTTAATGTGGCGCTGCAATCTGATATTGTAGGAGAAAACATCACACATCGTCACAAATATCTGACACCCCCCCCCCCCCCCAGGTGTGTGACATCATTTATGGACGGCCCCTTAGAAGACAATATTTTCAGAGGTCACTCACAGCAGCCCCACCTCGTGGAGATGTCCCGAGCCGCCACTGGGGTTAGAGTTAGGGTCAGAGTCGGGGTTTGGGATTCGAGTAGCGAGGTTGGAGTTAAGAGCCAGAGTTGTGGTTAGTCTCGGGTTAGGGGCGTAATGCTCGAACACGCTTGCCACGCAGCGATTCGATTAGAAAAAAACGATTCAACGCGTTTGACATCTTCGTGAACGGCAGTGCCTCTCCCGGCCGCAGGGGGGTTTCAGAAGAAAAGTCGCTTCCTGTCCAAGCGATCGTGCCCTGAAGCACGGACATCAGTCGAAGTGCTGTGACACCACAGGTGTGTGCACGGTGCATGTAGTGCGTGCATACCCATACGGTCCATGGTTCACGCGTGCGATCAGCTCTGGCCTCACAAGGCACGGGTTCTGCTCGCATGACCACGCGTCCTGCTCACACACACTACACGCAAAGACAAAAATCCCCCGTGCGACCTTTAACAGGCTGGGGCAAGGGCTGTTAGCGAGCACCTGTTTAGGTCGGCACGAGGCGTGGGTGAGGCCAGCGCCATGCCCCAGCCACCTTTGTCTCTCCAATGCTGATGCTGTACGTGCCGCACTAGGTACTCATTTTTTCAGGCCGAGTCAATCTTGCGGTGGCACACGGGACCGATCCTGATTGCATCCGCCACTGATGTTGGCCGTGAGTGGGAAGCCGAACTCGGGTTGCCACCACTCCACACACGTTACACACGTTACACACACACACACGTGACACGTGTGTTACATGCGATGCACACATGACGAGCGTGTTACACACGTGTCGTACGTGCGTAACATACGACGCACACGCGTATAACGCATGCGATAACGCGTGTGATGCACATGACACGTGCGTACTATACACGTGCTACACACGTGGTACGCACGTGCATGGTACGCACACATGGTACGCATGCGTTACACACGTGTTACATGCACACACGTATGTGTATGACACTCATGTTCCACCCCGTGTCGACTCACCACAGGTTGCAGTTGTCGCGGTACCGGCTGCCGGCTGGGAACTTCTGCCCCCCACGCATGCACCCTGGGCAGACAGAGAGGGAGGAGAGGCGACAGACGGTGAAATATGGGGGCGGGGGGGGGCATCGGCAGACACTGTCAATCAGCGCTCATCTCAACCGAGACATCATCAGCCGGGCTACAGCAACCCTGACTGCGAGCAAGGCTAGCCACAGCTGCCACTGAGAGTGCGTAACACCGTAACCCCTGTCCCTCACATTTCCATGCGAACCTTAATACAAATCCCAAATCAGAATTTCAAAATGTGTACATTTTTGGACTTCGGATTTTTACGACAATTTTGAGGTACATTTTTTTTTATTTTATTTTTTGCACAATCTCCATAAAGTACAAACTTAACACGCTGACAGAAGCCAACATAACGTCACTTTTGACCCGGAAGAGATCGCAAATAACATCATGGAATCGATATCACTTCCCGTGACCTCACATTGTTTGGATCGTCCGAAATGTTGCATCTTGACCGACTCTGCTCCACGGCCAGCCAAAAGCCGCTGCGAGGCTGCATGACCGCAGCTTCTCGCGATGACTTTATTCTCCTTGACGAGATCGGCAAGGTATCTAAATCATGTAATAACTTAACGCCTCTCCGTGCCAACAAAAGTGACAGTTGCCCGCTGACGGCAGGCGGCTACGCCACTTTAGGGCGAGAAAGCGTGGACCGTGATGTCGCAGGTAGCAATCGGCCGAATTGTCGCAGAAACACCTTGGGCCAGATTTTTATCCCTTACATTTTTTTTTCCGCATTCGTCCTAATGCGGAATGCTTCGTCAGGGGCCAGCGGACTCGACGCTCGCTCGCTCGCTCGCTGTCGAGTGCAAGCATGCACGCATACACGCGCGCGCTCAGTAAAGCGGAGTAGTTCAAACAACGGCAGAGCAAAAAAATGTGAACTATTAGAGCAAAGTCCATTCGCTAAACCCCAAACGATGACAAGGGCGAATGTTGACTGCACGCGTCGCTGCCTTTGGAATCTGTCCATCCCTTGCTGGGCCCTGTGCGCCTCTTTGGCATGTGGCGAAAATAATAACAAGTTTTACTGTATTTTAAGGATCGTGACGCACATTTTACCCTGCAGTGCGTTTTAAAAGCGTACGTTTGGGTGCGCGTTATAATCCGGTATCGGTGGTCTCTTAACAGCACTTGCCGCAAAACGTCCGTCGAGGCAATAAGGGGGACCTTTGTCTTTGTTTGACCACATTTGTATCACATCGTTGACGCCAGACACAACATTAGGGTGTGTGTACTACTTTCCAGAGCACCTTGTAATCTGACAGGCCTTTTTCAATCCACTGCTGGATGAGATCGCTCGCCACCATTGTCAGCCTTGGCTGGGAATTTAACTCAGGCTGTCGCCAGGTTCAGAGCTCGGGGCTCAAATCGCTGACTTCCCACTCGCCGTCAGCGAGCACTTATTAAGAAGGCCGGCACGCTGCACCAGGTGGCTGCGGGCACGACCACCACCACAGCCTCTGTCTCTTCAGTCCGTTGATGATGTTTAAACACCGTACACCAGGTACTCATTTAAGTAAGGCCTAAGGTAGGCCCCGGTTTAGATATCACTCGCCACCGATGTTTGGGAATGAAATTCAAGAACAGCAAACCAAACTAATGAACCATTAATTAACTATTTTTATTTTACCAGGTAAGGCTTACTGAGCTGTATATCTCTTTTTCAGAAGCCATCTGGCCACAAATGAAAGCTCAAGGAAAGTAGCTTATCATCATGTGGAAATTATTTTTAGCAGCCATATACAGCACTCTAAAACTCATGTTTCTAAATGTTGAGTGAAAAACCAGAGGATCCGGAGAAAAATCCACATGACCACGGGAAATCCACATGACCACAGTACTAAAATCCACATGACCACAGTACTAAAATCCACATGACCACAGTACTCTAAAACTAAAACTCATGTTTCTTAATGTTGAGGGGAAAACCAGAGGATCCGGAGAGAAATCCACATGACCACAGGAAGAGAGAATAGAGAATATGCAAACTCCACAAACAGCAAGCGTCAAGGTCGGGATCGAACCCATGACCTCCTGTACACCAGGCGAGGCAATTAACATCTCGCCACCGTGGCACCCCAAACTGAAAGCCTACAGCAGTAATACTTTGCGAAACAGCCCACAGTCCACAGTCAGCTGTTTGCTAAAAGGTTACACAATTTTAAAAACTGACCGTCTATGAGTCAATCAGGGGTTGGTTGGTCAGTCAGTCAGTGACACCGGAAAGCGCGAGTCATTTCCGTAGCCAATACAGAGCTGTATAATGACTCATTCTGTCCGGAAGGAGCCAGGGGGACCTGCGGTATCAATGATGAGCTGAGTACGAACAATGATGTTTGTGACAGGGGTAAGTAAAGTAAAAAAAAACAACCCCCTTGGCCTAAACATTTTCAACCAGGCTAATCCTTTGCTGCTGCTGCGTTGGCAAGGGGGTGCACAAGCACGATCACCATCAACACAAACCCGACGCGTTCGTCAATTACACCGTTTTGCGGCTTCAAAGAATAAAAGTGATACAATCGGCGACGTTTTGTGCAATGGGTCTTCTGAGCAACACGAGTAGAGAGCTCAGAGAGACGGAGCGGATGTCAAGAGCTGGAGGACCACACTTTACACCGTGGGGCCTGATGAAATTACATTAACAACATTCCAATTCATCTTCTTGGTTCTTTCGGTAAAGTCACGTAGAAGAGAAATAATAAAATAATAATAATAAAACATACTAAAATATTATTTTAAAATAAAATAATAAAAATAAAGCATAATAAAATAATATTATTTCCCTTTTACGTGACTTTACCGAAAGAACCAAGAAGATGAATCCCTGCATTCACGAAAGCTTTAAATCGAAACATTCCAATTGCCAGTTTTTAAGTAGGCATATGAATATAGTAAGTACCTACTCGTAGCTAAGGATTGTTTGGGCTAACAAGGGATTCAGGTGAGCCATGCAATGCCATCTTATTAGCGATTGTAGTTTGTATAAATATCCATCCCATCTATGGAGGTGGGTTGAATGCTGCTGCCACATCGCTGTTATGGGGAGCAAACTGGACTTGTCATCGGACCCCGTTTTGCCAATATCAAAGGATGAAAATTTGAGAATATGTTTGTACCCTTTCTGGCAATAAAACAGGAGGTATTAAGATGTTCAAACATCAAATAGAAACCTTTGGCAAGGCATCAAGTCTGCATTAACCACACGTACTTGTGGCAAAACATGCAAAAAAAACATGCTCTGATAATATATGCACCGTCTTTGAAACCGATTGGCCTACACCAGAAACAGAAGGCTGGACATCTGGTTAATGGAGACTTGATTGCAGTTAACAAGGCGGCAACAAATACCCACTGAAGGGAGGTCTTTCTGCCAGCTGTGACGAGAGGAGCAAGCACTTGCAGGGCTGCGCCTTCATCTTCCATAAAGACAGGCTGGTGAAATTTCATGGTTCAGTTCATATGTCTCTGAATCACCCACCCCACCACCCATAGCCTCGCATTCCACAGAGTACAGTCAACCCATCTCTCCTCCTAGTTCACTTTAGCTTACAGCACTCCATCAAGCCACTGCGGGGGTTGTTTGACCATACTTCACCATGCCGGCCAGTGCAGATTGGTTGGTAATAGGAGCTGGGGGAGGAGGAGGGGGGGGGGGTGCATGACTGATTCAGATGTCGCTCGCCACTGACGTGAGTCGTGGTCAGGAATCGAACTCAGGTCGCCGGGTTCACAGCGGGGTGCGCTAACCACTGCGCCACCACTCCACCCCAACTTGATATTGGCAAATGCTGTTATTATGGGAATGGTACCGAGATAGAGTGTAATTTACCATTGAGAATGGGAGCATTGGCCTCGTGGTTAACACGCTGCACTGTGGACCCAGCGACTCGAGTCTGATACCCAGTCATGGCGGACATCAGTGGCATGCGATCTGTACAGGTCCTGGGCACCTACCCGACAGTCGTATGGTCAAAAAGCCCCGTGACGCACATGGTCTGGGAGGGCATTCATCCAGCAGTGGATCGACAAAGGGGCTGTAAATTATTTTAGTTACGATCTCGTAAACTATTACACACATGAATGAAACACCCCAGGCTTGGAGCGTATATTTAAGCTGGGTTGGAGGGGGAAGAGCGCCTTGACAAAATAATTTATTTTGTCAAGGCGCTCTTCCCCCTCCAACCCAGCTTCCCCCTCCAACCCAGCCTAAATATACGCTCCAAGCCTGGGGTCTTTCATTCAGACGCTGTCTTCCCGACAGACCTGTTCTTCACCTGAGGACGGCTGCTTGCGTTGTGGCCGAAACGTCGTGAGAATTATTTTATTATGTTTTATTTTTATTATTTTATTATTTCCCTTCTACGTGACTTTACCGAAAGAACCAAGAAGATGAATCCCTGCGGTCACGAAAGCTTTACATCGAAATATTACGCACATCCTCATCACTACCACCATCACCACAACCGCCACCACCACTGCGCTGCCACCGCACCACCACCAACGTCACTGCCATCGCCACCACTACCCCAAACCCACCATCAACTTAAACCACCATCACCACGACCAGAGCTGCACACCACCCCTACCACTTCCAATATGGCCACTACCACCACCAGCCACCACCAACGCCACCACCATGGCCACACCATCACCACACCACCGCAACCGCCACCGCCACCACACCACCAACGCTGCTGGGAGCTTCCAGCACCTGGGGCGAAGCGTCGGACGGAATGCCGAACGACACGCGAAACAAGCCATTGGATCCCCAGTGCAACGGATCGTGAAGACCGTCCGGACGTTCTGACGGACCGCGCGGACTCCCAAGACGTCGCGATAATGGTGAAGCCGTGGGCAGCGGAGAAAGGGGGGGGGGGGAAATCCCGGCACCATCGCCCAGCCCGGCGCTCACCGAGGTCGGGCGTCGGGTACGGGGGAGGCACGCCCAGGCACGACCGCCAGAAGTCGGGGCAGCAGTCGGACACGGTGCGGTTGCAGAAGAGGTCGCAGTAGCAGCGAGAGTCGCGGAAGGGCAGCCAGCACGCGTCGTTCCGCCCTGGGCAGCAACCGCCGAGGGAGGGCATCGACGGGACGCTGGGCGGCAGGCGGCCGCTGGAGCAGTAGGCCACGCCGCGCGCTGCCTCCTCCCCCAGCGCCACCAGACGCTGCGCGAGCGCGTCGTCTCGCTTGGCACGGTGGCCGGACGACGGTGAGATGCGGGACCTCGCGGCGCTCGCCCCACCGAGCACAAGCGTCGGTGGCAGCAGGAGGGCGGCGAGGGTAGCGAGGGCGGCGAGGGCGGCGAGGGGACGAGGCATGCTTGTGACCTAGCAGAGAGGCAAGATGATAGAGACAGGCAGACGGCAGAAGGTTTAGTTTTAATGTCGAGGGGCCAGAGTACATGCCGACTTTTGACATTATTGTAGCGATGTCGCACCTCCGATTAGCACACTTGGCTACCTATGATGCGAAAGAAGTTCAATATACATACTTACAATGTTGGAGTTAAGATGAATCTTATGTTAAACCAAACTCATGACAATGCCACAACGTTGTGGGTTCATCCATAATACAGGTTTTATTTTTTTTACCCAAAAAAACCTGTATTATGGATGATATTGGTCGCGAAAGTCCACGTGTTAAACTGTCGTAGGTTCAGCTTAAGATATGATTTGACGAGAAATGTTTTATTAAAACAAACTAACGGAAATGCGGCAATGTCCTAACTCCGGTTAAGGCAAAGATTTCTCTAAAAATTGCTATTAAGAAATCTTATCTTAAAATGAATTTTATGTCAATGCTGAAATGTCCTGAATTTGGTTTAAGGTAATATTTATCGTCGGATATAGGAGAGCTATGACATTTCTGAAAAAAATCCCTTCAATTCAGTTTCTGTAGAAGCTCTAAAGGCCAGGAGATTTTTTTATACTTGCTGAGGCAAAGTCCATAATGAATCGAGGTGCATAGTAGACGTTTGCTACTCCTAAAACTATTTTTATTTCACCAGGTAAGGCCCACTGAGCTATACAGCTATTTCTCAGAAGCGACATGGTCACAAATGATTGCTCATCATCATGTGGACATTTACAGCAGCCAAAATACTCTAAGCCAGGGGTAGGCAATCACAATAACAAGAAGGGTCATATATTTCGAATTCGGTAAAAAAATATACTATTTCAAGAACCGCAATGCATGCGAGTACGAGATGGTGGCTCTGAAGCCGTAGGATGCTGATCCCTGCTCTAAGCACATGTTGATTCTAAATGTGAGGTGGAAAAACCCGGATTGACCTGGAGAAAAATCCATACGACCATGGAGAGAGAGCCGCAAACTCCAAATATACAGCAGGTTTCGATTTAAAGCTTTCCTGACTGCAGGGATTCATCTTCTTGGTTCTTTCGGTAAAGTCACGTAGAAGGGAAGTAATAAAATAATAATAAAACATAATAAAATAATGATCACATTATTTTATTATGTTTTATTATAATAAAATCATTCTCACATTATTTTATTATGTTTTATTATTAATATTTTATTACTTCCCTTCTACGTGACTTTACCTATACAGCAGGTGTCAGGGTCGGAATTGAACCCACGACTTCCTGCGTACTAGGCGAGGGAGTTCACATCTCGCCACCACGGCACCCTACAACATAACGCTCCAATAACGAGCAGTTAACCCTTTCCCATTCGTCCGACTCTATTCCGATGACGTACTCGTACGCAAAAAAAAACATTAAGAAAATAACTTTATTGGTACCGAGGCTCCCACAAGGCCACACAAGTGCGGTCGTGTCGCAACAGTTCTCTGCGGTGAGTGCCAACGTCTTTAAAAACAACGGCGCTACGCCTCTAAATTAAAATTAATGCTAAACCGCTTGCGCAACGTGAAGGAACGTCTCGGAACGGGAGAGGGTTGAGAGAAATCAGAGTAAAAAAAAGTAACCCGTAAAAACAAAGTTTTTCACTATAAATCCTTTATATGTGTGGCGGCTAGAGTCCTCTCGTCCTCTGGCTTGAGATGGCTGCCACCTATGGGTCAGATGATTGCCTGCCACCATTAAGCAATTGGTAATTAAATATAAAAAACAATTCCCTAAAATGTTGAAAATGTAGGACATTTTTTTTCACTAAAATAAATTGTCACGCACAACGAGTCTGTGTGCAAAATGTCAGCTCGATTGGATCACGGCAAGTGGGTTAAAAAACGACCGAAAGATGTGCACGGTCGTAAGCGCGCAAGCAAGCAAGCAAGTGAACTTAATATTAAGGATTTAAAAAACACAACCGCGTCACGTTCGGATAAAAAAACACGGCAGCACGAGCCGAAAGCGCCACAGTGGAGAGAAACCCTCTGAGCGCAAGGGCCGACACTCGCCCACGTAACACAAAGGCTCGTCGCGGACTCTGTCGAGACAACGAAGCAAAGGCGCGCTTGCTCCCCCCTGGTCTCGCGGAGTGCAGCTAAAAAACAATGCCAGGGATGCCGGGCCATTTCACGCGACAGCAGCAACGTGCAGCACCCGTGTGGTGCGGTGAGTTGGGGCGTGGTTTGCTGGTGCTGGTGGTGCATTGCTCTCTGAGCCTCGCCGTATCTTCTATCGTAACCTCACCCTACCCCTGACCACACCCGGTTTAGGACTTGCATGGGGAGAGACTGCTTGGACATATACCCCGGTGTCGTTGTAAGCTTGTGTTGCCAGGTGGCGCCGAGATGGCAATAAGGTAAGGGGGCAGCCTTGCAATTTGCTTTGCTCATGCCACGGGTGGCGGAAGGGGGCCTTAACCCCCCACCACCACCCTGCTAGAAGAGGGAGCCTTCTGGATTTTTTCCTCCGGGTTCTCCAATTTCATCCCATACAAGGGAAACAAACTCGAATTTATCACCCCCGGGGGAGGAGGGTGGGCTTAATTCATGGCCACACGTCGCAAAGTAGCAGGGCCCTCCTGCACAGGAGTATCACGAGTAGGCGAGGCCGTTTCCAGCTAAAACAGAGGGCCTTTGTGTTGTTGTTGTTGTTGTTATCATCTTGCTCCCTGGTTTCTTGCCCCCCCACCCACACACCTTTGTCACCTTCTGTTCTTCTACTTTAACCTTTGTGCAACACCAAGATAATCCGTTCCAGCCCCCCAACTACCACGGCGTGAAACCCACAACCCTTGGCGCAACGGCCTAACCACACGTAACCGTATTCTTAGGTTTTTTTCGGTAAAGTCACGTAGGTAAAAATTTTAAATTAATAAAACAAAATTAAAATAAAATAAAAATCACACTTAACCGTGCAACACAAGGTTCACGTCCGACTAGCACGGTGCTCGCTAAACAGCACTTGCCCCAACAGTGTGTTGAGGCTATGGGGGAGGGGGGTATCTTTGTCTTTGTGTGTTTGTGTGCGCGCGCCACAATCTTTGCCGACGTTTGTGTTCCCTTCCCTGGTTGTGTCTCTGCGTTCTGTATCTGTCAACCCGTGGCACCACCTGGGTCTGTCAACCCTCTGTGTTCTGTATCTGTCAACCCGTGGCACCACCTGGGTCTGTCAACCCTCTGTGTTCTGTATCTGTCAACCCGTGGCACCACCTGGGTCTGTCAACCCTCTGCGTTCTGTATCTGTCAACCCGTGGCACCACCTGGGTCTGTCAACCCTCTGCGTTCTGTATCTGTCAACCCGTGGCACCACCTGGGTCTGTCAACCCTCTGCGTTCTGTATCTGTCAACCCGTGGCACCACCTGGGTCTGTCAACCCTCTGCGTTCTGTATCTGTCAACCCGTGGCACCACCTGGGTCTGTCAACCCTCTGCGTTCTGTATCTTTCAACCCGTGGCACCACCTGGGTCTGTCAACCCTCTGTGTTCTGTATCTGTCAACCCGTGGCACCACCTGGGTCTGTCAACCCTCTGCGTTCTGTATCTGTCAACCCGTGGCACCACCTGGGTCTGTCAACCCTCTGTGTTCTGTATCTGTCAACCCGTGGCACCACCTGGGTCTGTCAACCCTCTGTGTTCTGTATCTGTCAACCCGTGGCACCACCTGGGTCTGTCAACCCTCTGTGTTCTGTATCTGTCAACCCGTGGCACCACCTGGGTCTGTCAACCCTCTGTGTTCTGTATCTGTCAACCCGTGGCACCACCTGGGTCTGTCAACCCTCTGTGTTCTGTATCTGTCAACCCGTGGCACCACCTGGGTCTGTCAACCCTCTGTGTTCTGTATCTGTCAACCCGTGGCACCACCTGGGTCTGTCAACCCTCTGTGTTCTGTATCTGTCAACCCGTGGCACCACCTGGGTCTGTCAACCCTCTGTGTTCTGTATCTGTCAACCCGTGGCACCACCTGGGTCTGTCAACCCTCTGTGTTCTGTATCTGTCAACCCGTGGCACCACCTGGGTCTGTCCCGCGATCACCTGCCAGCGGGCGTTCGACACTTCACGTGGCCTTGAAGTGCACACAGACCGGCACAAGCGCCGTGGTGACGTCGCCGCCACTTAGTGGCGAACGGCGATTGCTGCTGTTGTTGTATCTCTGTTGTTGCTTTTCGTGTTCAGTTTGTTGTCCTTCCCTCGCAGGCTCCAATTAGCACGGTTGGCTACGTACGGTGCGAAAGAAGTTCAACGTGCTCACATACGTACAGCCAAAACTCCACCGAGAACAGACACACATACACCAACACCAAACGCATTAGCCTGACCTATACCCCACCTGAACCACACCGCCTTAACCACATGTCCTTAACCACAGCCTAGTCCACCAGCTGAGCGTGTTTGCGGGTAGCACACGCACATTTACGGCCTTTCGCCAATCCACCGCTGGGCGAAGGCTTCACACAGTGCTGTGCCGGAAAACGAGGGCTGGTTTGACCTTACATCTCCTCCTACTCCCCAATGCTGTACAGCAGCACGCCTCGCCTCTCCGATCTTGCTAAAGGGTGACCTACATCCCCTCCTACTCCCCAATGCTGTACAGCAGCACGCCTCGCCTCTCCGATCTTGCTAAAGGGTGAACTCACACGTGACCGTGACAGTGACCGCACCGTGACCGCCACCTGAACTGCACGTCAACCGCAATTTAGTCCACCACCTCGAGTCCCTGTCTGCAGCGCACACCGTGCTCTTCACCCTAAACCGTTAATTCTAGATTTGAAGCTTTCGTGACTGCAAGGATTCATATTCTTAGGTTTTTTCTGTAAAGTCACGTAGGTAAAAAATTAAAAAATTACATTTTTTTAAATTAATTTACATTTTTTTCCTACGTGACTTTACCGAAAAAAAACCTAAGAATATGAACCCTAAACCGTGCCTGGTTTCACAGTCATCCACCATCCTTACGTCCCCTTGACCATATACTGCACCGTCACTCGGAGTTTTATCTCCCGCTCGGAGTTGTCCCGAGCGCCGCCAGGCTGGATTGGAGACGGTATCATCGGTGTAAGAGACTCATGACGAGAGTACAAGGGTACGCCTATCCATAATCATGCTACAATCAGTGTATATCATATGCCTATAGGGGCTGTCCATAAATAACGTCACGCACCTAGGGGGAAGAGGGGGGGGGTGAGACATTTGTGACGATGTGTGACGAGGGGGGGGGGGTTGAGAAATGTGACGTCACATCAAAATGCGCAACTTTAAATAAATATAGACAACACGTTCTATTTAATTAAATAGACTTTTTAATAAATGTTTTCTCCTACAACATCAGAGTGCAGCGCCACATTAAATACGCACTACAATGACAATACTTTAAAGCGATTTGAAGCATTTTTTTGGGGGGGGGGGGCAGAGCTTTGTGACGTCATATTTGAGGGGGGGTCTGACTTTTTGTGACGCCGTGTGACGAAGGGGGGGGGGGTCAAAAATCGTCCAAAATCGCGTGACGTCATTTATGGACGGCCCAATAATCCTATGAACAAGTTTATGGGAAAATGTATGTTGAACTTATTTTGCACCGTACGTATCCAACCGTACAAATCAGAGGTATAGTACAAAAACGTAGGATTATATAACACGTTAAATGTTTCGATTTAAAGCTTTCGTGACTGCAGGGATTCATCTTCTTGGTTCTTTCGGTAAAGTCACGTAGAATGGAAATAATAAAATAATTCTACGTGACTTTACCGAAAGAACCAAGAAGACGTTAAATGTTCTTTAATGCAATGAACTCTCACTTAATCACCCTTTAACCACGCGTATGAAGTAGCATGCGTTACGTTTCTGAATCTCACCTCAACGCGAATATGAATCACAACTAATTATACTGTACTCATTTAAAGAGTACTAACCACACTTTAACCACACTGTAAATCGGACATCGATCACCACCCTAACCACAACTTAGCCACACTTGAAATGGGACATAGCACCTTAAAACACACTCCAAGTACATCTTTAACCACACCTTAACCACACTTTAACCACAACTCCCCTGATGCGGGCATCATCATGAACTCGTGCAAAAAAACCTCTCCCGTAACGCGTGTTTTCACAACGCGATCAATGTATTAGTGAACATATTCTTAGGGTTTTTCGGTAAAGTCACGTAGGTAAAAAATTAAAATTAATAAAAGTAAAATAAAAAATAAAATAAAAATCACGACGTTTCGGAGGCAACACAAGCTTCCGTTTTCGAAACGTCGTGATTTTTATTTTATTTTTATTTTACTTTTATTAATTTTATTTTTTTACCTACGTGACTTTACCTAAAAAAACCTAAGAATATGAATCCTTGCAGTCACGAAAGCTTCAAATCTAGTATTAGTGAACACATTTTGTTCTACATATCTATATAACGCCGTTGCGAATTGGATATAACGCGATCGAGTGAAAAGAACTACGTCGCACGAGGAGGCACAGGCGGTCGTTCGGCTGCCTCTGCCGAGCGTCATCGCGCAATGCATTGGGGATGTTGCTGGATGCTTCCAGAAGCTACCCTACGCACCTCAGTTTTTGCTCAGCCTGCGTACGCACCTCACGCGTTATCGCGGACTGTGCTTTACCACTTCCCCTGTATTCAATATTACTTATTATACTCTTTAGTTCTTTCGGTAAAGTCACGTAGGTAGAAAATAAAATAAATCACGACGTTTCGGGCGGACGCTTGTGTTGCGCCCGAAACGTCGTGATTTATTTTATTTTTCTACCCACGTGACTTTACCGAAAAAAACAAAGAGTATGGATTCCTGCAGTCACGAAAGCTTCAAATCAAGATTATTACTAATTATTCACCACAACGCTTTTTTTTTATTAAACTGTGTTTTTCAGGAACGCAAATACCGTGTTATAGGAGAACAGGCTGTAGTTTATCCATAATACAGGGGGTTTTTTTGGTGTTAAACCGCATAAATGTGTCGTTAAACCCAGCACCACCCGACACAGCCAATTAGTAAGGTTTGTCACGTAAACAGAACGTGGCCAATTCGTGACTAGTACAGCAACACCGGTGTGTTGGAGAGCAAAGCCACAACATTTACGATCTGAGTACGACGTTTCGCCAGCAATTTACAACTAGCGTCATCAGGCGACAGCCAGATTTGTGGAGAGAAATCCTCCTGGCTGTAGTTTCAGGCTGTGACTTTTGCGGTGCTGCAGGCAGCAGCAAGGGAGGGCTGCTGGTGACCGCCGCACAATGCATTGGGATACTGCTGGATGCTTTTACTGGTTGGAACCTCCTGGTTACACCAGCCCACAGGGGATTATTGTGTCCGTCCGTCGTGCAGGGAGGGGCTGGGTGGAGAGGGAGGGGCTGGGTGGGGAGGGGAGGGAAGGGTGGGGAGGGGCTGGGTGGGGAAGGTGGGGAGGGGCTGGGTGGGGCTGGGTGGGGAGGGTGGGGAGGGGCTGGGTGGGGCTGGGTGGGGGCTGGGTGGGGGTTGGGAGGGGTGGGGCTGGGTGGGGTGGGTGGTGGGGGGTGGGAGGGGTGGGGCTGGGTGGGGAGGGGCTGGTCACCCCGTGGTGCCCTTATAAAACTCAACGTTTAACCTACTCACGCCGGCTTGTGCCCGCCCTCACAGTCGGGCATAATTGCGGAATACACCACGCCGCCGTTGACCCTGGCCATTGACCGAGCAACCCAACGTTCCTACCAGCTCCCTCCGCAGGAATGTGTTAAATGCTCCACTCACGCGTCTCCACATCTCTATTTGTTAATACCTGGCTCCATACGCATCATCTCACGCGTGCTATCGCGGACTGCGCTGTACCACTGATATGAAATATGCTTCACTCTAACGCGATTTTTATTTTAGCTTTCCGCAACGCGGTGTCGTTCAGGAACGCAACTCCCGCGTTATACGAGAACAGGCTGTACTGTGGCTGCGTGATTAAACCACCCAGTGAACCGCGATTGTACCATCATGGACCACATACATTAATTCTAGATTTGAATCTTTCGGTAAAGTCACGTAGGTAAAAAAATGAAATTAAAATTAATACAAATTTATAAAAATGTTACCTACGTGACTTTACCGAGTACCACACACATTAACCACGGGACATAACACAACGCTAAGCCTCTCCAAAGCGCACGTTAACCACTTTTTTTATTAAACCACACGTAAGCCCCGAAGATTAACCGGGCTTCATTCGCCACGCAAATTAACCGAGTAATCCACGTTGACCACACACTCGATACACCACACTTGAATTGTACACTCGCTTCATCCTCACCACAACACAACGTAACCCCAGACCCTCACCACGCCATGCACTCACCCTCACAGTCAGCACACCCCGTAGCACCCACACTCACCCAGACAACTCACCTCACCACACTGTAGCATCACCACACTCAACATTCTCCTCACCACATCGCTCCCTCACCACCGCAACCTCACCACACCTCACCACATCACACCGCTCCCTCACCACACCACACCACGGCACCCTCACCACACTCCTCACCACACTCAACCTTCTCCTCACCACACCGCTCCCTCACCACTCCGCACCCTGACCTCACCACACCGCTCCCACACCTCACCACGCCACCGCACCCTGACCTCACCACACCGCTCCCTCACCACCGCACCCTCACCACACCTCATCACATCACACTGCTCCCTCACCACACCACATCACGGCACCCTCACCACACTCCTCACCACACTCAACCTTCTCCTCACCACACCGCTCCCTCACCACTCCGCACCCTCACCTCACCACACCGCTCCCACACCTCACCACGCCACCGCACCCTCACCTCACCACACCGCTCCCTCACCACCGCACCCTCACCTCACCACACCGCTCCCTCACCACCGCACCCTCACCACACCTCATCACATCACACTGCTCCCTCACCACACCACATCACGGCACCCTCACCACACTCAACCTTCTCCTCACCACACCGCTCCCTCACCACTCCGCACCCTCACCTCACCACACCGCACCGCTCCCTCACCACACCGCTCCCTCACCACACCGCACCCTCACCACACCGCACCACACCGCTCTCTCACCTCACCACACCACACCGCACCCTCACCTTGCTCTCACCTGGAACAGCGGGCGACGTCCGCCCGCGGCTAAAACAGAAGTGAGAGGGAGGGGAGAGAGAGGGGGAGGGAGGGGAGGGGGAGAGGGGGGGGAGAGGGAAAGGGAGGGAGGGGAGGGGGAGGGGAGGGGGAGAGGGGGGGGAGAGGGAGGGGGGAGGGGAGAGGGAGGGGGGAGGGGAGAGGGAGGGGGAGGAAAGGGAGAGGAGAGGGAGGGGAGAGGGAGAGGAGAGGGAGGGGAGAGGGGGGGGAGAGGGAGGGGGGAGGGGAGAGGGAGGGGGATGAGAGGGAGGGGAGAGGCTGAGGGGAGAGGGAGGGGGGAGGGGAGAGGGAGGGGAGAGGGAGGAGAGAGGGAGGGGAGAGGGAGGGGAGAGGGAGGGGAGAGGGAGGGAGGGGGGAGGGGAGAGGGAGGGGAGAGGGAGGGGAGAGGGTGGGAAGGTGGGAGGGACCTACGTCACAGGTTCAATTCACTGACAAATACTCTCACTAACACTCTCACACATACAGCCACTAACACTCTCACACATACAGCCACTGATACTGTCACACATAGAGCCACTGACACTGTCACACATACAACCACTAACACTCTCACACATACAGCCACTAACACTCTCACACATACAGCCACTGATACTGTCACACATACAGCCACTGACACTCTCACACATACAGCCACTGACACTCTCACACATACAGCCACTGATACTGTCACACATACAGCCACTGATACTGTCACACATACAGCCACTGACACTCTCACACATACAACCACTAACACTGTCACACATACAGCCACTGATACTGTCACACATACAGCCACTAACACTGTCACACATACAAGCACTAACACTGTCACACATACAGCCACTAATACGCTCACACATACAACCACTAACACTGTCACACATACAGCCACTAACACTCTCACACATACAGCCACTGATACTCTCACACATACAGCCACTAACACTCTCACACATACAGCCACTAACACTCTCACACATACAGCCACTGATACTGTCACACATACAGCCACTAACACTCTCACACATACAGCCACTGATACTCTCACACATACAGCCACTAACACTCTCACACATACAGCCACTGATACTGTCACACATACAGCCACTGATACTCTCACACATACAGCCACTAACACTCTCACACATACAGCCACTGATACTGTCACACATACAGCCACTAACACTCTCACACATACAGCCACTGATACTGTCACACATACAACCACTAACACTCTCACACATACAGCCACTGATACTGTCACACATACAGCCACTGATACTGTCACACATACAACCACTAACACTCTCACACATACAGCCACTAACACTCTCACACATACAGCCACTGATACTGTCACACATACAGCCACTGATACTGTCACACATACAGCCACTAACACTCTCACACATACAGCCACTGATACTGTCACAGATACAGCCACTAACACTCTCACACATACAGCCACTGATACTGTCACACATACAGCCACTGATACTGTCACACATACAACCACTGACACTCTCACACATACAGCCACTGATACTGTCACACATACAGCCACTGACACTCTCACACATACAACCACTAACACTCTCACACATACAGCCACTGATACTGTCACACATACAGCCACTAACACTCTCACACATACAACCACGAACACTAAAATTCAACAAATCTAGGAGCAAACCTGGAAAAGCAGTTGCGAGTAGCAGCAACATCATCAACACCAGCTCGCATCACACGCCTCACCAAAGAGAAGCAATTCCAGCCATCGCATTAGGGGTGAGTTAATTAAATATAAACAGGCACATTTTTAAGTTGATCATTTTGAATGGCCCTCGAATGATGTTATCAATAACCAAATGGCCCTTGGCAGAATAAAAGTTCCTCACCCCCTGATCTATAAGCAATGTTAGTCTACGGGAAATATAAGTCTATGGGCAATGCAAGTCTAAGGGCTACGTTAGTCTATGAGCAATGTTAGTCTATGGGCAATATAAGTCTATGGGCAATGCAAGTCTAAAGGCAATGTTAGTCTATGGGCAGTGTTAGTCTATGGGCAGTGTTAGTCTATGGGCAATGCAAGTCTAAGGGCTATGTTAGTCTATGAGCAATGTTAGTCTATGGGCAATATAAGTCTATGGGCAATGCAAGTCTAAAGGCAATGTTAGTCTATGGGCAGTGTTAGTCTATGGGCAGTGTTAGTCTATGGGCAATGTTAGTCTATGGGCAATGTTAGTCTCTGGGCAATGTTAGTCTATGGGCAAGGTTAGTCTATGGGCAATGTTAGTTTATGGGCAATGTTAGTCAATGGGCAATGTTAGTCTATGGGCAATGTTAGTCAATGGGCAATGTTAGTCTATGGGCAATGTTAGTCTATGGCCAATGTTAGTCAATGGGCAATGTTAGTCTATGGGCAATGTTAGTCTATGGGCAATGTTAGTCTATGGGCAATGTTAGTCTATGGGCAGTGTTAGTCTATGGGCAGTGTTAGTCTATGGGCAATGTTAGTCTATGGGCAATGTTAGTCTATGGGCAGTGTTAGTCTATGGGCAATGTTAGTCTATGGGCAATGTTAGTCAATGGGCAATGTTAGTCTATGGCCAATGTTAGTCAATGGGCAATGTTAGTCTATGGGCAATGTTAGTCTATGGGCAATGTTAGTCTATGGGCAATGTTAGTCTATGGGCAGTGTTAGTCTATGGGCAGTGTTAGTCTATGGGCAATGTTAGTCTATGGGCAGTGTTAGTCTATGGGCAGTGTTAGTCTATGGGCAGTGTTAGTCTATGGGCAGTGTTAGTCTATGGGCAAGGTTAGTCTATGGGCAATGTTAGTCTATGGACAATGTTAGTCTATGGGCAATGGTAGTCTATGGGCAGTGTTAGTCTATGGGCAATGTTAGTCTATGGGCAGTGTTAGTCTATGGGCAGTGTTAGTCTATGGGCAGTGTTAGTCTATGGGCAGTGTTAGTCTATGGGCAGTGTTAGTCTATGGGCAATGTTAGTCTATGGGCAATGGTAGTCTATGGGCAGTGTTAGTCTATGGGCAGTGTTAGTCTATGGGCAGTGTTAGTCTATGGGCAGTGTTAGTCTATGGGCAGTGTTAGTCTATGGGCAGTGTTAGTCTATGGGCAAGGTTAGTCTATGGGCAATGTTAGTCTATGGACAATGTTAGTCTGTGGGCAGTGTTAGTCTATGGGCAATGGTAGTCTGTGGGCAATGTGAGTCTATGGGCAGTGTTAGTCTATGGGCAATGTTAGTCTATGACCAATGTTAGTCTATGGACAATGTTAGTCTATGGGCAGTGTTAGTCTATGGGCAATGTTAGTCTATGGGCAATGTGAGTCTATGGGCAATGTTAGTCTATGGGCAATGCTAGTCTATGACCAATGTTAGTCTATGGACAATGTTAGTCTATGGGCAGTGTTAGTCTATGGGCAATGTTAGTCTATGGGCAATGTTAGTCTATGGGCAATGTTAGTCTATGGGCAGTGTTAGTCTATGGGCAGTGTTAGTCTATGGGCAGTGTTAGTCTATGGGCAGTGTTAGTCTATGGGCAATGTTAGTCTATGGGCAGTGTTAGTCTATGGGCAATGTTAGTCTATGGGCAATGTTAGTCTATGGGCAATGTTAGTCTATGGGCAGTGTTAGTCTATGGGCAGTGTTAGTCTATGGGCAGTGTTAGTCTATGGGCAGTGTTAGTCTATGGGCAATGTTAGTCTATGGACAATGTTAGTCTGTGGGCAGTGTTAGTCTATGGGCAATGGTAGTCTGTGGGCAATGTGAGTCTATGGGCAATGTTAGTCTATGGGCAGTGTTAGTCTATGGGCAGTGTTAGTCTATGGGCAAGGTTAGTCTATGGGCAATGTTAGTCTATGGGCAATGTTAGTCTATGGGCAATGTTAGTCTATGGGCAATGTTAGTCTATGGGCAGTGTTAGTCTATGGGCAGTGTTAGTCTATGGGCAGTGTTAGTCTATGGGCAGTGTTAGTCTATGGGCAAGGTTAGTCTATGGGCAATGTTAGTCTATGGGCAATGTTAGTCTATGGGCAATGTTAGTCTATGGGCAATGTTAGTCTATGGGCAGTGTTAGTCTATGGGCAGTGTTAGTCTATGGGCAGTGTTAGTCTATGGGCAGTGTTAGTCTATGGGCAATGTTAGTCTATGGACAATGTTAGTCTGTGGGCAGTGTTAGTCTATGGGCAATGGTAGTCTGTGGGCAATGTGAGTCTATGGGCAATGTTAGTCTATGGGCAGTGTTAGTCTATGGGCAGTGTTAGTCTATGGGCAAGGTTAGTCTATGGGCAATGTTAGTCTATGGGCAATGTTAGTCTATGGGCAATGTTAGTCTATGGGCAATGTTAGTCTATGGGCAGTGTTAGTCTATGGGCAGTGTTAGTCTATGGGCAGTGTTAGTCTATGGGCAGTGTTAGTCTATGGGCAGTGTTAGTCTATGGGCAAGGTTAGTCTATGGGCAATGTTAGTCTATGGACAATGTTAGTCTGTGGGCAGTGTTAGTCTATGGGCAATGGTAGTCTGTGGGCAATGTGAGTCTATGGCCAATGTTAGTCTATAACAGGGGTGGGGAACGTCCGGCCCGCAGGCCGTATGAGGCCCACGAAATCATTTGGTGTGGCCCTGCCAAGGCAACCGCAGGCGGGACTCGAAATTCAATAAATCTCGGAGCAAACCTGGAAAAGCAGTTGCGAGTAGCAGCAACATCATCAACACCAGCTCACATCACACGCCTCACCAAAGAGAAGCAATTCCAGCCATCGCATTAGGGGTGAGTTAATAAAATGTTTGAGCAAATATAAACAGGCTAATTTTTAAGTTGATCATTTTGAATGGCCCGCGAATTATGTTATCAATAACCAAATGGCCCTTGGCAGAAAAAAGGTTCCTCGCCCCCTGCTCTATAAGCAATGTTAGTCTACGGGCAATATAAGTCTATGGGCAATGCAAGTCTAAGGGCTATGTTAGTCTACGGGCAATAAAGTCGGCGCTCCTTCAATGACGAGACGACGCGAA